AAGACCTATTACTGACCTCTTCTGGCTGCACGACGTCGAGCACGTCGATAAACTCGAGTTCTGCTCGAGCTTCGTCCATCTGAACTTCGACCACTCCCACGCCCTCGTCCTCGTCGTTCACCAGGACTTCGACGACTTCCATGGCCTCCCCCCAGTCCACCACCTGGACTTCGACGACTTCCATAGCCTCCCCCCAGTCCACCACCTAGACTTCGACGACTTCCTTGTCATCCTCTTCCTCCATCAGGACATCGACGAGCTACACGCCCCCCTCCTCCTCAATCACCTATAAGTGAAGTCGAGTTTAGAGTGGAAACAATTTCATTTTAATACATATCACAATGTAACTATTATTAAACCAGGAATTAACATATCTCAGTGTAGTCAGCACGAAACTATGTTTAATAAGGGAAGTCAGTTGTTAAAGATAAAATGTTTTCAATAATGAATAAAAATATAATATAGTGTTCACATTGATCCAGTATAACATTGCAAATTGTATACACAAATATTGAATGCCGTTTAAAAGTTTGGCATTGCAGTTTGCAGGTATATTGAAATAATAAAAATATTATAACGTAAGGACTATAGTTACAGGCCAATTAATTTTAATTATAAATCAAAACTTGATGTTAATAAAAGAGGGCTGCACTCAATAACATTATAATAATTGATTCAAACGTTATATAGGTGGTGTATGTGTTAAGTGAATTCATTAAATTATATTATCCGAACTCCATAACTGGACAATGAAGTTAAGTTTATGTTTTGCAGAATATATATATTATGTGGTTTTATAAAATGGTTTGAATTGTACAGCTATATCTTCTGTATTGATAATGTTTGCTACATTGCCGAGTAACCAACTGACAAAAATACACATTTAGTATAATATGTATGCTGAAAACAATGCATTAACTGTATAGAATAAATACTAAGAACTGTGTAAGAAAACATATAAGTATTATTGTGCTCATTGGTTGTGATATAAGTGGAAATAAGATTTAAAAGAAAGTCAATTGTAACCTGCGAATGGCAGTGGACACTGTGAACACTGAATCAGTGAAATTTCATGTTAGGAACCGTGTAATAAAAGGTATAAGTGTTTTGTTAATTTGTTAGAGGTACATTTAAAAAAAGCCAGTTTGAGTAACTGTGACTCTACTCATTGTGTGTGTGTGTGTACTGAAACATAATTCCACACAGTTCTACCTAAACAACATTAATATTCACAGGTGTAACAAAATATTCAATTGTAAATTGTGTTCATTTCCAGCAGTAGAACAACACAAATAAGGGGATAGACGGTGTGGTTCAAGTTATTTTTGAATGAGTAAGAATTAAGAAGTACCTTTATCACAAAAAAAAAGAAGAAATTCACCAAAAAAAGTTTCATTGGTCGTGTGCTCTTACATCTTTGTAATGTTTGTTAATCTACTTGTGTCAGTCATGCTGAAATAACAATTATTGAATGAGCTCAAGTGTTAGAACATTTGTTACAACAACGAATGGAATTTTAAAACATAGTGCATTCTATAATAGTAAGTGTGAGTACCCATATAAGTCCAAATAGATGGTACTCTGTTTTTATGAATGTTGTAGTAGTAGTAGAAGTGCTGTATATAATGTCATCAGAGTAACGTAACTACAGTGCATAGGTTAGGTCGATGATAAGCACTGCTTATTGTCATCAGAGGGGTGCGTGAACCATATTTCATAATTACACATGGAACTTTTAGATGAAAAATTAGCTTGATCTGTGTGACATAAAAAGCAGTAGAATAACGAACAACACGAATAAAATGAGCTGTGTAGTTCTAATCATTTTGAAGAACAAACATTCATAAGTATAAATGACAAAAAAAAATATTCACAACATAATGTTTAATCGAATGGTATGTTCAATGTGATAAATTTAACTACATCTATACCCCATAGTGCTGCACTCTACAACACTATATCAAAAGATTCACATAGTGTAGTAGGTACACAGTGTACATTCATATATATTTTAAATAAAGTCAGTTGGCACAGCGAACAAAATATTGAAATAAACTAACGATATGCCTGACGATACCTTATACGTATAACAATAACCCATGTGATACACTAACTACCGTCATTGGAGGTGCGTGTATTGCACTACACAATTAAAATTTAGATCAAACGTTCTAGACATAAACTCAGGTTTTACAGTATACTCACTACAGACGGCCCTGCTCCGGCCGACAAACGACGGTGATACGCGACTCCTCGGTAATCACGCCCCAGCACGAAATGCCTCGAGCACAGCTTCGAGCTGGCAAATATCTGTAGTGCATTGACGCCCTTATTCTGGGCGAACATCACCCATTGCCGCCTAAGATCGCCATTCGCCGGAAAACTAATGCAATCATCATAATATTACGAATAGTTTAATCATACTCATCATAACAGTGGCGTGCACAGCTTTTTTGAATGGGAGGGGATATTCATTTTTGACTTGTCACACACCCATGGGGCTTCGCCTCCCACACCCCCTTCCATTGAATTTATATTTTAATTTACATTACCCCTGCGAAAAACTTAGAAAAGACATTTTAATCTTCTACTTTAAACTTCACACTTTTTATATTTAGGCTTTCAAATTGTAAAATTAATAAGAAAATGTTTTCCTCCAGTAAATACAATATACATTATATACATACAAGTTTAATATATTATTTTAAATTTACAATTCATTAACTAATTTTTAACTACAAGAGAATTTCTAGTTTTCTTGGTTTCTTGGCCATCTCATCCAATACTTCATCTGGTGTAACAATCACCTCTTTGTGTATTGCTAACATAGTTAAACCATTTAATCGATCCTACAACAAACAGAGCAACATAATATTAAAATGTTAAATTTTTATTTGAGATTAATTTATTTTCGATTATACCTCGGCCATTGAATTTCTCAGGTATGTTTTTACTCGTTTTAATGTGGAAAATGACCTTTCTGGTTTTGAAGTTGATACAGGTAATGTGGATAAAATTTTCAAAAGTTTATTGATATTAGGGTATATATTAGGACAACAAACTCGAAGTGCGTCTAAGGCTGTTTTGATAACTACTCGGTTTTGAAGAAATTTTATTCTCCAAATTTTTAATTCTGCCAAACTGTTATCTTTGTTTATAGTAGATGAATAAAATTTTAATAGATTTTGAAAGGATTCAACTTCACAAGTACTAAGACACTGATTTTTCGAAAAAATAGCTTCAAAACCTGCATAATTTAAATAATGAATGAACCATACAATTTTTATTCAATTATACAACTATAAATAAAATATAAAAAATACATACCTTTGAATATATTTTTGTGTGCTAAAAATCTAGCTTCTAATTGAGCAATAAAATGGTCAATGTATGGTACAAATATTGTTGTACGATAACAAACTTCAATAGCCATTTCACATGTTGCATTATTCATAGAGTCTGTAAAAGGATTTGCTCTGTTTGTTTGTCTTTTTGCAATCCTTTTCACAGATAGATTTATATTGATAATTGCAGCCAGTTCATAAGCATTACCAACAAAAAACATTTAGTATAACTACTAAACAAATATATTTGGACACTCATTACCACTGCTTTTACAAATATTTGTTTAAATTCTTCATCGGTATTAGATCTTATATCTTTTAAAGCTAAAACTGTATTTTCAGCCAGGCAAACTGCTTCCATCAAATCAATTTGTTCAGATTGTAGTTATTTACACAGTAATAAACCATATGAAAATAAATTCTAAATAAAATGTAACAATTAGATCTATATATATATATATATATATATGATATAATGCAATTGTATTGATAAAATTACCTTTATAATTTGAAGTGAAATAAGAAATTCGTTGTCAACGGTTTTTAATAATATAGATGCATCAGTCGCTGAACTATCATTCCACTCATAAATTATTTCTAATGCAGCAACAACAAATGGAAACAATTCCACAAAATCATTCACAGCGTCATAACGTTGGATCCACCTTGTAGCACAGAGTCTCTTCAACGATTTAACTTTGGGTTCAAAGTCACAACCATCAATTTCACTTAATATTACACTGCTACGTTTCGGAGTGTTAAAAAATGTATACATTTTTTCTAATATGCCAAGACAATTTCGTATTGGTTTAATGTTACTGGCAGTAGAAACAGCTAGGTTTAATGAGTGGGCAGCACAATGAACATATAATGCATGAGGATACTTTTCACATATAATTGCTTGAACACCTCTACACTTCCCAGACAAGTTACTAGCACCGTCATAACCTTGTCCAAACAAAAAATCACACCGAACTCCACAACTCGTTAAACCTAAAATTATATATTAAATTATTATATTAATAAGATATTAACAAAATAACTATTTTTATTTAGTAATATAAATACCATTTAGGATAGCTGATGAAAGTGATGCTCCAGTTAAACTATCAATATTAACATATTTCAAAAAATCTTCACATAAATTATTTTGATCATCAATATATCTTACACATAAAGTGAGCTGTTCTTTATTTGAAACATCTGTGGTCTCATCTGCCAGAATAGAAAAGCATTCTGCAGCATTTATTTTTTCGACGATTTTTTTCTGTATAATATCACCACATGCCACTATTATTTCATTTTGAATTTTGGCTCCAATATATTTATATCGTTGATTATTTTCTAGATGCAATTTTAAAAATTGATCTCTTTTCTCAGTATTGCACGAAAATTCCCATCATTAGACAATTTCTCTACGATATTTAAAATTATATTCTTATTATATACATATATTATTATTAAGTACCTACAAAAATACACATTTTTCCGGAATCATTATGTCATCTAAGGGCAATTTCTTGGCGTCCACATAATATAATACATTCAATTATAGGGACAAGTTTTTTTCTGTTTTCTTGTATTTGAACTTTCCTTTTGAACAAATATTGAAAATTGAAATACGTATAACTTGATTAAAATAGACATAGTAATTATTCAATTAGAGGTAATGTTTACAAACCTATCTTCACAGATTGCTTCAATAATTGAAGGTTGTTTTTTAGTAAAAATATTAAGGAATTGATCTGATTTAACAACAGAAGTAACATGATAATCACAAGTAGAGTGTTTCCGAAATACCTAGATGATAATCAAGAAATAGTTTTAATAATAATTATACATATTGATTACCTATAATATTATCTTAACTACTACCTCTAAAGCTTTCTTCCACGCATTAAAAGCTTCATATACTAATTTGCGTAAAGGCTGACTCCCCACACCGCCAGTTTTGGCAAACACAACACAATGTTTACAGTAAGCACCTTGGGTTTTTTCAGAATAAGCAAGCCAATTAAACTCAAGCAGCCATTTAAATTGGAATTTTAAACCTTTTTTTTCATTTATACTGCATAAGGGAAATTTATATGTAGCCAGTGGTACCCATAATTTAGTTAACGTCTAGATATGTATTACAATAATTATGAAAAAAAATTTTCTTTTTTTTAATAAAATCATAAAGCAATAACTTACAGAATATTTTTCATCATCTGTTAAATCACTATTAACAAATATACCTATGTCATTTACATGTGGCATATTTTCAATCTAGTAAAGCAAAAATTATAAACATGGCTTACTATTTAGGTACTACGCTATTTTAAAAATAAAAATAAATGTTATTAACCTGATCATATTCTGGGATTTTTTCCGTAATCTGGACTTTGTTAGGGCTTAGTTGAGGTTCATCAATTTGTTTGCTTTGTTTGGAAAAATAATCGTTTATTTTTCTTTTAGCTGACATAACTAATTAAATAAAATAAATATATTAAATATATTTTTTTATGGTTGTATGAAAAATCAAGAAAAATAATTTTACTTACTTTTTTTATTATGGGACAATGGCTAATTATTAGTACTGTTGATAGAGTAAATAACTTATGAGTGTACAAGTAAAACAAAATTGTTATCGTATTAAAACTACACCAATAAAAGTCAACTTGATAGGAGAATGAACGCAAACGAAGATTGAAAACACAATTTTTCAAGTTCAATTAGCCGTTCTGTAACGAACTAACGAATTCGGAATTACCACCCGACCAATGGTATCACGTCACTTGTTCGCCGAAAATAGTTCGCGCGACAGTTGCTCGCGCGTCTAATGTTCGCCTAGAAATTGTTCGAATACGAAAATTGTTCGTGCATACATTGTTTGTATGTTCATTTAACATTAACTAAAAATAAATGAATAGTAAAAATATGTGAAGTTGTTTTAAAATATCGATAACGTATCTCGTTATCGAACATTATACACTCAGAAAAATAATGGTCTATGTTTTTATGAATTCAGTTCATTGGTTTTAAGTTTTGAAATTCAACTAGAATCAATAGAAAATGATGTTAAAATAAAGATATTATCTAAGAAATAATTAAAACGAGCATTCATAATTTAATGTTACAGTTATAAAAATAAAGCAAGACATTTAATTCAAGTAATGGTCCTTATCTCATTAAATCTTAATACATTTTACTTGATTGTACGCTATCATTGAGTACAATTTAGTAAAAACATGCACTTATTTTTATTAACTATTTCATTAATTGAATGCTATAAAATTTACTTAGAATTAACGGAGAAAATTATTAAAATAAGAAACATTTCTTTAAATCAATTATTCGAACGTAATAAATATTGTATACAAATAATGAAAACCTGATTCATAGTTTTTAGTATAGACTTTCCTATTGTTGATGATATTATCTACTTAAATGTATGTTAGATATCATTGTAATAGTGAGCGTTGGCATTCTTTCAATAATTCCACTACATATTATCAAGGATAAGAAATGCTATTTGAAAAGAAAAATTTATTTTTAGCACTTCCCTGGAATTACCTAGTTATAACGATACGCTAAATAGAATAATCGTCGGAAACTCTCAAGTATGTGGTATGTAATTGTTATTAGGTACATCGACGCTTTGGTTGAACAGCGGACATCTTATTGCACTACATTTTTTTGGCAAACCGCGTACCAATACCTCGATTATTTATTGTTATAGTAATAATTATAATCCTGTAAAATTCTCAATTATTCAGTTTTAATGTGTTATTTTTTCGTGTGCATGTCGCGTACATAAGTTGACATATAAATTTTAATTCAAAGTTTGGTGTTTGTTCAAAAATGGAAATCAATATTACTAACAATGTAAATGATGTCATTTTGAATTCGTCAGTTGAAATATGCGATGGATTCGAAAATGAGCACGCATTATTAGACCTATTGATAGAATTAAAAGGTGAATGTTTCTTCAACGAATTTATAGGTAAGTACCCACTGAGTTTTGATTTTATAAATTAGTTATTAACCGAGGTTAACTAAGCAGTTTATCGTACATAATAATATAATAGGAATACTAAATAATATTGTATATCTTAAAGATCAACCTATTATGCCTTAAGATTTTTCTAAAACTTCTTGTGTTGGTACTTAAATGTTATAAAACATAAAAAAAAATTGTAAGTACCCGGGTATATTAATTAAAACAATTTGCATAGGATCAACTTACCATGCTACTTACTTATTATGCTAACTTTTTATTTTGTAACCTTGGTACCAAAGCGTTATGGAGATGGCCTAGCAAAATGAAAAAAGTTGTATCCAGCCCAAAACCATATTGATGCTATAACAGTCATTTTTAAATTTGATGTACATAAATCACTTCTGCTATACGAAAGAAGATTGTAATAACCCAGTAGATAATACTATTTTATATAAAACAATTGTAAAAAGTACTGCAATTATTGCAGTAGCCAGTAGAATGTTTTATTAACAACTTTTGGACTGCTGTTATATCAGTAGGTAGTGATATAAATATATAATATGTAAATGGTACATCAAATTTTATAAATTACTGGTATAGTGGTGTCAATCAATCATATTTAAATTATAAAACTATTGAATAAAAATCATACTAGACTTCCCAACCTATACTCAGAATTAAATTCAAAGTCTAAAACACCAAATTAATATTTTTTGTTCTTATTTAAAAGTAATATATAACTATATATTTAAACTGCAGATCACGGAGTTACTATTGAAAGCTTGCATTACATGAAAGAAAATCATTTAAATAATATCTGTCCTAACAATAAATATGGTCAGAGAATTATCTTCGAACATCATCTGACTAAGTGGCAGACATCATTTGTTACTGTAAGTTCACACTTCCTTTGTGTGATTGCGATATGTATACATTTAATATTAAATGTATTATATATTATGTAAGCCTATATCATATTTATTTCAGGAACAAACTATAGCTGTAAATAAATTAAATTCAGATAGTACATGTTCATCAGATTCTGAGCATTCAATTTCATCTCAGAATAACATAATAAAGGTACCTATAACAAAAAAAATTATTAAATAGGTAATAGTTTCCACCCTCTACCAAGTCTACGAGTAGCCAGTAGGTATAATACCGAATTAGAGTAGGTTATAGACTTATAGTAGGTAGTATTTAATAATAAGTTAATTTAATTTTGGTAACTCAGTTAAGTTAGAAATTAATAAAGGTAGGTACACACTTTTTATAAAGTTTATTTTTTTATAGGTACATTTTTAGCATACTTTATTTTTTACCAACCCAAAACTAAATTCCCAATAACAATAATATACCATACATTATACTATATAGATTATAGGTACTATATTATGTCTATATTATTATTTTTACATTATAGTTGTTATAATTAATTTAATATCATTATTAATGTTACATTAATAACATAAAATATTATTTGATACATATATAGTCCTTTAGAGTATACAGAGTGATTGGAAAAATATAACATTTTGAAGTTTTTAACTTAATTCAATTCACAATAAAAATTTCTTGACATGAAAACAAACTAGACTGAAGCAGTGAAATGTAAAAAAAAAAATAAATAACAAAATAAATAAACTGATTTTTAACTCATTTATGCCCAGTCTTGATTTTTTTAACCATTTTATTTATATGTTATACTAAATATCAATTTTACAATACGTATATTAGGTAACTACTAATTATTTTTATTTTAGATAAATGTTGAGGACATTGTGACGTCGGCTGGAAAAGGAAATCTAATTTTATCGTTTTTTAAAAAAAATAACAAACTAACAGATGAGTTAAGAAAAATATTGACTGAATTGATAATTGAGCATTTGATTCAACAGGAAATATATGCCACACCAAAATTATTTGAACAAATCTCTATTGGTATCGTTGAACTCTTCAAATGTGAAATTAAGGTTTATATCGGTTTATATTTTGTTTTTAAATAATTGTATACGTTTTGAATTGTTAGATTTCATTTAAATTTTTAAATGTATTTTAAGGAAACATTTTATCTTGGTGTACCTAAGCAAAAACCTAAGGGACTTTAGTATCAAAAATACCATAATACCATTGCCAAATTGCGCCGTTATAATTTATGGAGTGGTCCTAAAAAATTAAAATTAAATGAAAATAACTCAGATGCCAACTGTTTTGGAGAAATTTTGTCTCATGATGAAGCAGAAGGTAAATTAAAACAATTAATTTTTGAAATATTATGCACCTATTCTAAATATTAATCTGAAGATTTTTCTACAGGTGCTGAATTAAATAGTATTAAGCAATGGCTTCAATTTAATGTAGAGCCAATGAGTGAAGTCGAAATAAAATGGAAACAAACTGCTAATATTCGTAGACAATATCTTTGTTCGCCGAATATAACTATTCATGATATCCTTGAGGAATGGCCAATATACAAACAGTCATTTGGTCATAGTTTGGTATGTTTGTTTACTCAAGTTTATTTAGAATTATTTTCTCCCTTTAAATAAGGTGTTTCTTAGTTAGGTAATTTATGAGTTGTGTGTTTTTGACTTTTATTAACTAATACTTTCATTATGTATCTTAGAACTCCATATGTCACTATAGGTAGATCTATAATCCAAACTAGTAATATCCAATCTAAATCAATTTTTTTTTAACATCCAACGTACATTCCAATTATAAATTTAAAAAATTTAAAATGCATAATATTTATATCTACATAGGTCTTAGAATCAAGTTTTAATGTAAATCGCTCCAATAATTGTCCTACTAGACTCATGTATTCTGAAATAAATATTAATAAATAATTCTAATTTCAGATTGATATAGACTTTGAGTGCATGAATACAAGTTCTAAGGGCAATTCACTTTTTGACAAATGGAATCAATTTGCTCTTAAAATCATTCCTTTTATGGCAAGTGGCATTAAAGACGGTAATAGTAAACTACTTTTACAACGTTTACTTGAAGTACAAGAAACTGACTTAGGTATTTTATATTTTAATTGCTATTTTGTAATCTTGATTTTTCAATTGATCAAATTAAATTTAAAGCATTTAAATTATTTTTTTGTTTCAGACACTAGAAATCTTTTGATACTTGATCTTTTGAATTCCCTGCTTGTTCCTACATCCAAGTATCATCATAATGAATCTACCACTAAAAGGCGTATTATAAAAACTTCTATATCTGATGCACGGAAATCATTTTTACATCAAGTTGCTTCAATGAATGA